TGAATTTTTGTCTGTGGGATGTAGCCAGACACAATCTATTGTAATTACAGGCCATCTGCCTAAAATTCTCTTGTAGTTTAAATTGGATAGCAATAATCTCAATTTTCTGTCCTAAGTAGTTGTACAGAGTTGCTGTGTTTTACCCCAAAGGTCTCTGCATTTTACTGGTAAGCAAAGCATTAATTGGCTGTGAATCATTTCCTATGAAAGGTGCTCTGTATGTTTTCACCCTTCTTGTTCAGGGCTGGCAGCAAGTCTGTGCCTCACACTTCACAAACCTATCAGAAATTAAAGTTGTGCTCCCAAAAGGCTGCAGTTGAAACAGATAATGCATAGATGAGGAGATGTAACCAAGAGCCAGTGACTGAGCAGTGAAAATCATTGCATATCTTCTTAGTTCTTCTAATAAGAGGCTGCCATTGAAACAGATAATGCATAGATGTGGAGCAGAGAGGAGATGTGACCAAAAGCCAGTGACTGAGCAGTGAAATCATTGCATATCTTCTTAGTTCTTCTAATAAGAGGAGTGCTTCTACATGGGTTTGTGTGCTGACAGAAGAAAAAGCATGAAGGAAGGCGTGGTGCAGAACAGCACAGTATGAGTGGCTATGAAAGAATCTCAGGCAAGAGGAAGGATTAGACAAGTAGAAGTGAAGTCAGGGGGGAAATGAATGGTACCCAGACTTTAATGGGACAGTGGGATAAAATAAACAGCAAAATGGATGGAGCTGAGAGGAGCAAAATGGGTAGACTTGGGTGTGCCTTGAAATATAACCAGGAAAGGGTGTGAAGAGAAGCAGGCATTGTTGGTACAGTTTTGCTATAGTATTCCAGCTTGATTAAAAAGGCAGTCCAAATAAACATTAGTGGAGTGAGGAGGGAGGAGACTGCAGTAGCCAGGCAGGGAAAATATGGCTTGTAGTCTTTCACAGTTGAGGCAAAGTAGCATGGACTGATGGGGAAGATCTGCTAGATCTTATGGTAAAGGCCTTAGCACAAGCTGTTTACATGATAGTGTAGTTGTCAGATATGGTGAGTTTCATTTGCTCAGCTAACTGCTTACAGAGTCTGAAGACAGGTTTTTTGCTCTGGGTATGCTTAGTTCATTCATTAGTCATCTCTCATTTTGATTACTCTAATGGCTTCTGGCTAGACGTTGTCCTTCTTCTGCTCTTCACTTACAATCTATTCAAAAATCTGCCACATACATAATATCTTGTCATCTTCTCTGTTTGCTTCATATTGCTGCCAGATCCCCTTAAAACTAACTTTAAATGTCACAGTCAAGATGAAAGCAAAATCACACTTCAAATTCCTAGTTAAAAGAAATGGTTGTTTGTCCTATCTTATAGTTACTTCAAGAAAAGTATTTTAAAATCCCATCACTCTTGAGGTGTGACAGTCACCTTGGAGTTCTGCAGGATGTACTTGGCAGTGAATGATCAGAGTAATTCACAAGAGTTCTGCTTGTGAATGTACTGTGTGGGGTCCTGCATTGCCAGCTGGCTGCCACAAAAAAGGAGATTCAAGATTCCCTTCCAGAAGAAGGGCAGTGGTGCTTGTCCATGCATGGCAGCTCCTCCTGCCTGAGGAAGAGAGCAGATTGTGAGCAGTGTGTTGGTAAGAAGGAGAAAATAGTTTATAGTGAGTGTGCAAAGTTGCTGTGGAATAAAGGACAGCTTTGAGGTTTCTTTGTGGTCTGAAGAGCTGCTTGTTGCCTTCTCTCTTTTCATGCTTTTGTTTCTGAAAAGCATCTGGGAAGAGAGGGCTCAGAAGGTGAGGCACAGAGTTAGGGTTGCAGAGTCTTAGGGAGAGAAGCTGACTGCCTCAGGTTCAGAAATGGTCCATGTGGGCCATCAGTGGTGGGTTATTATGAGAATGAAGAAAAATGGCTGTTAGAAGAAAGAAAAGGATTTTCAATTTAAAAGGGAGAAGTGGATTTCATTAACAGGTGATGGCAATCACCTTGGAAAGAAATCCATTGCTAGATTCCATCTGTGCCATTTTCATCTGCAACTGTCTTTAAATAGAAGTTACTTGTATCCTGAAGGATGGTAAGAGAAGGGAGCTTCTCTCCTAATAGGAAGGAGACAAGAGCTTACTTGATTAGGGATTTGCAAATGGAGTGTGATTGCAAATCACTGGAGATAATGACAGTAAAAATTTACATGTTAATACCAAAATTAGTAACATTAGGAAATACACTAACTGAGAGAGAAAATTCTGTGATATTTTTGAAGCAGGACCCCTGAGAACTGTTCCCATGGCTTACTGTGTGGCAATGGAAGTACTTGTACAAGCAGTGAGAGCTCACAGCTCCACTATGCCACTGAAAACAGGTCTCAGCAAATCACCCAAGACCATGGCTCCGCAACTTGCCAGGCTCCAGCAATCAACACAGCACTGGGCTTTTATCTTCTTTTAAAAGCAGTGACTTCTCAGAGCAGTTTTGAAGCTTTGAAGAGTGATCCTGCAGTGACTGTGGAAATAACAGTTTTTTCTTACTGTCTTAACATTTACTCTGAATTACAAAATAGGTTGTTAGTGTGTTGCCTCAGTATGTTCCTGAGACCTCCTCTGTATGTCTGAATGGTTGCAGTGTGGAAATAACATTACAATTCTGCTACTGGCTGCTAGTAGAAGGGCCAGGAAGCACGGTTAAAAGACTTTTACAGAATACTTTTCAAAAATATTCTCAAATATATTGTCCAAGAATATTTTTCCTAACATTTAAAACTCTTATCTCCTGTCTGTGGTGGAGAATACGAGCTGAGTTGATCTGTGCCACAGCAGCTCTGCCTGAAGCCCATGTCCCGTGTCACAGGCCTGTGTTCGTAAAGGGAGCAGCCTTTGGTGCAGGCTGTGTGGAGTCAGAAATCTGATAAAAAAAACAATTGGAAGGGCTGAGCTAGGGCACAGCTGGGCCAGCAATGGGGATGTGTGGGAGTGTTGGTTGTTATTAAACTGGGCCACAGAGAATGACCAGAAAGGAAGGTGAAAAGGTACTTTGTCTCCTGGATTCATGCAGGGAATGGAGGCATGGGAGATGTAAGGAGAACATACAATGTTGACAAGACAGAGTGAGCTATCCATGTTAATTTTTGTGTATGCAAACAAGTAATAAACTTGCAGAAAGGCTAATTAGATATGAAAACTGTTGTCAGTGTGATGTTTTCAGAGGTTAATTAAGAATACTTTTTTTTCTTTTTGTACTGTAGTGACTGCTGAGAAACTAAACATGTTGCTCCATGTCTCATTTCAATTGTTACGTTAATATCTACATTTCTGCTGCTAAATTACTTTTTGATCTGCCGTTCTCCTTGCCTCTACTCCAGCCTTCCCTTTTTTTTTTTTCTTTTTTTTTTCTATCAAAAATCCTTATTAAATCCTTGGCTTCAGCAACACACAGTACTCAACCTTGTGCTCAACCTTGTTTCAGCCAGGAAATACAGCAGTTGCTGTTCTCTGCCTATTATGAGATTTGCTTTCACAGGATGGGAAGTCCCTTAAGTTTACTGTTGTCCTGAAATGTCCTAACACCACTGCCACACACAGCTTGCAGTGTTGCAAACTGTGTTAGTTCAGAGGTTTATCAAAAGGGATGGTGGTTGTTTTTATGAAGAGGCAAAGCCACAATTTTTTTTTTGTTTTGGCTTTTTCAAATACCAGATTATTCTTGTTTCAATTAATTGACCCTGATATGCCTAAATTCCTTTTTCAGGAGGTGTATATAGCTAGTTTACGCATCTTACTTTAAATTTAGATCATATTTTATCACTTTGTTTTAAAAAATTAATCATGTAATCTTGTTTGTTTCTATTTATTACTGTATCTTATGCTGTAGAACATGCCTGTGTGCTTTCTAACTTGCCAAAGGAAAATTCATCTCAATCACTCTTACCGGATAGTGTCCATTACCTACTAATTTGTCTATCAGTAGAAGTCTTAGAATAATAAAAAACACACATCTGGGATACTTTCCCAGGTAATGAATGCTATTTGCTCAGCTCACACCTTCCACAAAAATGGGTCTGGTTTAGAGAGCTTTGTACTGTAACTGCAGGACAAAATTTCGTGCTTTCTTTCACCAATGGATGATGTAATTCTGTCTTGTGACACACCAGAAGGCTGCTGGTGTCCAGCTGCTCAGAGTTTGTACCTGGGAAAGGTTAGCTTGATCCTGACACTGATTTCAGGTTTGTTTTAAGGTGTGTCTTGGACTTGTCTGCAGCCCAAGCTCAGGGGCAGAGAGGTCTGAAGGACATGGTGAAAAGCCATGTAAGGCTGTGTGTAATGGCATCTCTGTGAGCACTGTGGGAGGAGGTGCCACACAGCTCCTGGAGATCAGCCCAGTGTTGAACAGGGGGATTTCCTTATGGATCTGGCAGTGATCTACTCCTCTGCAGGCTGTGTGATGCAGTAGTACTGTTTCAACCTAGAAATTAAGGAGTATTGAGTAACCAAGAATGCAGGTTACTGGTGTAACTATCAGAGCAGGTGCAGTGACCTCTAATCCTGACAAGAGAGGGCTGGCATTACTTTGTCCATGCCCTGCAAGTCACCTCTGGATGACACCTGTGCTAATTTATTATCACCTGACTCCATTCTTGGACAGGCGCAGGGAACACAGACATGCTTAGCAGCTGACACAAACTAGACTTAGACTTACATCATCCACATACTGAAAAAACAGCAGACACAAGCTACCTTGGTGTGTCCTGGCCTCATGTGCCTTGAACAGAAATGCAATGAAAAAAGCCTTGCAGTACACAGGCAGTGGGGCACTGCCCAGATGATCTTCTTTCTTCTGAGAAGGGCAGGGTAGAAGCACTTATGTGCTGCTTCCCTGTTCTCCCTCAATAATTAAACAGCTGGTTTTATCCTTTGCTTGATTTTACTGTAAAGTGCATTCACAGCTGACTTCTGCTGCCTGCAGTAACAAGCAGCAATGGAATAAGCAATGCATTACTAACATAAGCATGTTTTATTTTTCTTTACAGGTAACTGTGCTGGTCCTTTTTGCCCTTGCATTCTTAACATGTGTTGTATTTCTGGTAGTCTACAAGGTTTACAAGTATGATCATACCTGTCCAGAAGGATTTGTTTTCAAGGTAAATTACATACCCATTCTAGAAAAACAGTAGAGTATGTAATATTCTGTGTTGTTTTAGGCATAACCTTGATTAAGGCATGCTGTATTGCATAGATTTGGTGTTTCCTTACATTGGTTAGCATGCTTGCTGCTATGCTTTTGCTTTGTAATTTATAATTTTTATAGAATTGCACAGTATTTACAGTGTTATTTTGCTAATACTTTAAACATTGAAAATATAGTCAAAGTCTAAACACTGGTGTCTCTCAAACGAACTTCACCTGCAGTTGTCTGGACAAAGTCCTCATTTATGGGTCATATGGTTTAATGTTGCACGTTCCTCCAAATTAATGTGTCTTAGAAAATGAGAAAATGATAAAATGTGGAGAAAAAAAATCTGGAATATGTGTCAAAGAAAAAGTAGACTGATGTTCTCATTAAGAGTAGTAGAGTTACTTCAGGGTTATTTTTGTACTAAGAACTTCTTGTTCTAGAACAGTGACCTCCGAGCCCTACTGCCAAAAGTGATGCCAAAAAAGGGCAAACACATTTATTGTAGAAAATACTGGTTCTAACCAAAAGGAGGCTGGGCTCCCTTTATTTGTGTGAGATGGTGGTGCTGGCTCCTTTGCTATGACCTGGGCCAAAAGTCAGAAAAGTAACATCAACTTTCCAGTTGTAAATTTAGAAGAGTTGAACTTGGCTGTGATTAGGTAAGAGAAGTGCAGTGTTAATGGCATTCTTCCCTTTAACTTTTTTAATAATATTTAGTCATGTAATAAATTAAATGGATACCCAGTATGAACTTCAAAAGGATTCTAGAAGGGATGGCTGCCTCAGCACTCCTCAACAATCCTGTTCAGGATTTTATCTGTCACTTCAAGCACATAAATATCTTACAAGAATCTAGTTCAAAATAATAATCAGTGATGCCCTTCTGAATTAATTTAGGCTCAAGCATTCAGTTGGTTACTGCTTCCCCTTTGTTCAAGGGCAAAAGGTATTGTGGTTAGAATACTTGGCTGTAAGTCAGGAGATCCAGCTTTTGGAGCTGCTGTTGGCTTTTTGTGTTGTCTCAGACAGGCACTGAAACCCCTCTGCGTTCATGTCTCAGGGGACAATAGGCTTTTTTTTCCCCTAAGCTTTCTCTTGTCATTGAACAGTTTGGAATATGGACTGTTATGTTCCTTTCAAGCCTGTCTTGATGTGATCCTGACTTGACAGGAACAGCCAGTTACATGTTCCTGTGTGAGTCTAGCAACAGCCTCCTGCTTCTGCTTCCCTTCACACCAAGTTGTTCTCTCCTTTGAGTTGCAGCTTTCTGGCTTCTTGTGGCTTTTCTTGCCAGTGTCACAAACATTTAAGGAAAGAACACTTTCTCAGCTGTATTTCAGGTGCCCTGTGACCAGAGTCTGGTTGTGTTTGGGACAGAAGTTAGGCAGAATGTCCCATAGCTCATGCTCTGTTCATAAGGTGCAGCACATGCACAGGGCTATGTCATGGTTACTCTCCTGGTGGTGTTCTTGGAGCTGGTGTTCTGTTTCCAGCTGCTTGATGGCAAAATGGCAGCAGACAGAGCATCTTTGGTCATGTACCTCTTTTAGGAAAGAGTTCTGCAGGATAAGGATGTTGGCAAATGACACAAGGCCTGAAAACTACCACTGTTAAGATGACTTTGTATTTACTTGTGTCTTTTTGGGAGAGTCCACAATATGTTAATGGCATAGCTTGGCACAGATGTCCTAGGAAACTTGAAATCTGTCACCTTGAGACCAGTGTCTCTGTGGCCTGGCTTCATGTTTCAGGTGGACTCAACAACGTTATCTGGCCTGGATGTTCCCAGGCTTTGGATGCTGATGTGAGTTCCTGGTTTAGGGCAAAGGTGCCTGCCTCAAGAAGCCTGGTGCTGCAGGAATCTCTGCATAAAGGCTGAGCTAACCACAGCTCTGAGTCAGCCTCACTCTTCTGTGCTTTGATGCTCTCATACATGGAGCAGTTCCAAAGCTTTCTGCTGTACTACGCCTCCAGGGCATGAAGGTGTGCTTAAAAAGGTGCTCATTTCCCTTTGAACAGCAGTCTTATTTCTGTGCTTGCTTAAGCTGTCTGAGACAGCCTTAGTACTGCTGCTGTGCAGATTGCTTCTCTGGAGCACTCATCAGAACCTGCTGTGAGACTCACCACAAAAACCTGAGTGCACTTACATCCTGAACAATTTCCCCAGGGTTTCAGTATGTTCTGTACCCTGTCTGTTACCCTTTAGCTTTTGTTGCCAAAGCACCTGCATTCTGACAGGTTTGTGGGCATTACAACAAAGTCACTTCAGTGCATTGAAGACCACACCATCATCTGTTAAATTGGGAGTTATTGACCCAGCAAAGTTAACATGACAGAAGATACTATTTATAAGTGAATTCCACTGGGGTCTTCATGTCAAAGGAACAAAAGGAATCCTCTTAATTCAGCCAGATATAGACTGGCAACCAGGGCTTTCTCTGGCATCAAAGGCCATAACCTGTAACTAATTTCCAAAACAGAAGGGTTGTGAAAAAAAGAAGACTGGCAAGTTACTCTGGAGCACCCCAGTTTCTCCTCATGGCCTTCCTTCTTCTCTCATCTGGAAACCATGGAAACAAATAAAAATGATGGAAATAATTGTTCTACATAGCTGAAAGTGGCAGGGTAAGAATCAGCAGCAGTTCCCATCTTCCCATCACTCAGTCACTGAGTGCTGCATGGCTTGCCTTGACTGGGAACTAATCCAAGGGGCTGTCCTCAGGCAGTACACAAGGGGCAGTGAGTGAAAGGAGAGGTTGTTTTCCCATCTCTTCTAGAAGCATGAAATCCCGGGAGCAAAAATGCAGTCAAGAGGGAAACTGATGTCTGTTTCTTGAGGCTCTTCTGTCAGATGTCTTGCATGTGTGCAACTACAAGGCTCCCCCCCCCCGAAAAAAAAGAAACCAAAAAACATTACTGAGTCATTTTTGCCTGCAACAAAGCAAATTGCTTCTGAAGGCAACACAGAATTCTGTAGCTTTTTTTCAGACTGTCATTAATCTTGGCTTGTCTTCAGCTCTAATAATTATATTTGCTTGAATTTCTTTGGCAGATTTCATTAGTTCAATGGATTGTGTTCCTTTCCCCACTTTAAATATTTAGAATTGTGATTACATCCCATGACTAAGTGAAATAATCACTACACATATGTCTGTGTCTATGTGCTTCTTAGTCATTTTATCACATCAGAAGTAGTGTCAGTTATCCCAGATAAAACATGGATAATACTTCCAGAAGACGACATGGTTGATGTATATGAATATGCATCTCAAATAGCAATATTCCATATTCCTGGATTATGTTTTTATAAATCTAGGTGCCAGTCTTGCTGCTGGCACACACACTGACTGTGGGCACAGGAAAGCCTCTGTTCACTTACAGTGCTGAACTGACACAGGTGCTGTTTAGCCAGGGTTAAATCCCATCTGCTTTGTGGTGCTACTTCAACAAAAGTGGGAGACTCGCCCCAGCTGCTGCCTTGGCAGAAGGTTACAGATAAAGGGAACCAGGGTGGCCGTGGAAACTCTGGGCACTCTGTGAGTCTGGTTTGCTTGGAGGCTTCTGTCACACCCACGGCTTGGAGCCAGTGAGGTGCTGACTGTGGGAGGGCTGCCAGCCTGGGGGCAGCCAGGCATGTCTGAGCCATCACACGTGCCATGTGACTGAATTTGTCTGGGGCAGGCAGCTTCTAAGACTACCTGTGGGCCTCTTGTTTTGACAAGTATTCCTTTCTTCTTTCATACCTTTTGATGATTTTTTTCGTTTTTAGGAGGAAAAATTTGTATTAAGCCAAGACTGTCTGCTGGGTCTTCACCCATCTTTTGCTTTATGATTTAAATCCATTTGAAACAGTTGTTACTCGTGATGCTTATTTATGCCTTTTTTTTTTTCACATGGACAAAAGTCAGCTCAGAAGTAAATGTGGACACTTTTAAGGTAGAATCTGGTCCTAATGCCCATGGAATTTTTGCATGTCTTTCTGCTGAGAAATTCCCAATATAAAATTTTGTTTGCTGAGTAGAACAGTAGCAGTTCAAAGCTGCTGTGCTGTAGTGTTACAAATTTTAGTCCTCCAGTGCTGGAAGCAAGAAGACTGAATACCCTATTTCTTTTCCAAACAGCCAGAGTAGAAATGACTACATGAATTTTTCTTCAAGCTGCAGCTACTTGTAGCTTACAAGAGTCAATTCAATTGCTCAGGTGCTTCAACATGCCCTAACATGTTGAAGTGTCAGGCAAGACTGCCTGGACTAGCCAGTGTGGCAAGAGGACCTGCAGAGAGACCCCAGGACCTTCTGGGGCAAAGCCTGGGGGTCACAGTATATGCCTAAATAACTTTTTTCTTTGGTGCAATGAGCTGCTCTGCAGGCTCTTCCTGCACCGTGACTGGAAGAGTTCTGGATGATCCCTGTGACAAATGCACTGCACAGGCACTTTCACTTTGGCTTTTAAGATGACAGCAAAGTGGATTTGACTTTTATTTTACTCTCTAAATTATCTGTTTCACTTTCCAAAGCTTTGAGCATCTAGCAGGTTCTATTTAATGCTCCTACATTCTTGGGAAATGAAATAATGTAGTCTCACAGCTCCAGAGAGGTTTTTAAAAGCCTGCTGTTGACTACGTCTTTCTGACAATGAGGAGTGAAGTATTTTGTATGTGTGTACACACTTCCACATATGCTTGGCCACCCACAGAGTTTTCCCTATAATGTGTGAGCTACTGGGCTGTAAAACTGTTCATACATTGGCAGCAATATATCTGTATTAATTTCTGTCCCTCAGACTGCAAACACCAGGGCAAATTGCCTGAAGTTAATCTAACAGTACAATACGGACAGCTGTAATTGTAAACCAAACAGTTGGAATTTGGTGGGCAGGAATAAACAGCAAGATGTGGCTGGAAATGGAGACTGAATACTTTTTCAAAATGATTTTAGGCAAGCACATTTCTTGTACGTTCATTACTCCGGCATATAAATCCAGATTGGTCTTCCTGGCAAATGCATGAGTAGTTTAAGGATTGCAGGGAGGAACATTTTGAACACAGTAGGACAATACTGTAGTTAATTGATGTATGTTGCATCTTGACTCACAGAGTGTCTCTTGGCTTAGACTAAAAGGAAAATGTGGCATTCACATTCTCTGGAAAAATCCCTTCGCCCAGGATTTTTCTCCTGGGAAGCTCAGAAGCCTCAGAGAAAAGAAACACAATTCTTATCTCATTTGCTTCTCCTGTGTTTTGCTTATCTGGAATGTGGTTGGAGATTGATTACCCACAGATGATTGTTTCAGTGGATTCTGCTGTGAGTTCTTTTGACTCAATGGCCAATCAGGGCCAAGCTATGTCGGGACTCTGGAAAGAGTTACGAGTTTTCATTATTACCTTTTTAGCATTGAGTAAGTATCCTTTCTGTATTCTTTAGTGTAGTTGACTATAGTATTCTTTAACATAATAGAATATTATAAAGTAATAAATTAGCCTTTTAAGAACACAGAGTCAGATTCATCATTCCTCCCTGCCATGAGGGTCGCTACAAATACAGTAGCAAAAGGAGAAAAAAAAACTTAATCTGCTTCATGTGTAGGAGGGGGCTGTATCTGAAATCTAAGCAATGGATTTTCTTTTCAGAATAATCAGTGCATTCCAGCTGGGTTGGAAAACTACTACTCTGAACAAGACTCCAGCGCTCGAGGGAAATTTTACACAGTCATAAACCACTACAACCTGGCCAAACAAACCATCACGCGCTCCGTGTCCCCGTGGATGACAGTACTGTCAGAAGAGAAACTGTCTGAACAGGAGACTGAAGCTGCTGAGAAATCAGCTTAGTATGATAAGCTAATTATTAAAACTATGTCATTTGAAGGTAACTAAGGGACTTCAAGGAACTTTCAATTAAATATAATTATGGATAATTTAGAGGTTACTCATGTTTATGGTGTAACTGCTTCTGTTTGCTGATACTGCTTTGCAAAAAAAAAAGAAAAAAACTGAAAACAAAAACTTGCTGCAGAACATTCATGGGCATAATGCCAGGTGCATATCAGCATTGCTGTAGAGCTTTGACACCATTTTCAATGTTAAAAAAATCCAATATTAGATATGTTCTTGCAGTTTATTGGATACTGATAGATTTTGTCACTGGATTTTCAGGGCTTGGACCTTAGATAAATCATGTGTTCTGTTGTCTGAACAGATACTTAATTTATTAAGTTTTTGAATTCTTTGTCATTTTGCAAACTGAAACACCCCAGCCATAACTAGAGTGATCTCTTGTTTAGCTGAAAGCTGTAAGTAATGTTTAGTTTGGGCTCAAGCAAGAATGATAGTCAGCGCTGACATCGGGGCATAATGTAATGACTTGTATGGAGAAAGAAACTGTCAGGTCGCATTTTTCCTTACATTTCCTTTACTGTTTTTGTAAGTGATAATGAAGTTCTCTGCAACAAGGCATGCTCAATGTTTTCTTATTGCTGTCAGCAGGATTTAACTGCATTTCCACTGTGGCTTTAGCATCTTGGTAAGGATGTGCACTGAAACACAAACTAGATAGACTTATGGAAAAACACAGGCAGTTTTAGTGGTGGATGTTGAGGATAGTGTAAAAAATATACAGTTCAGGATGTTCTAATGAGAAATGACATCTTTTGATCATACTAAAGAGGCAGAAAACCTGTTCACAGTACATGTAGTCCACTATGTCATTTGTTGGATACAGCTGAAGGAGTAATATGTCTAAATTTTCTCCTGTATTACATTCACATTCTCCCTTTTTAGTAGTTAGAAAGAACTTTCTGTTTATGTATGGTTTGCAGTTTGATACTTTTTAAAACATGGAGGGAGCATCACAAGTGAAACAGTAGTGTGTTAGATACCACAACTGGCTGTTAAAGCTCCATGTGAAACAGAGTGAAGAGTAGAACTGTTTGTGTATGGCTTGGGAGGGGAAAAGATGTAGAAGAACATAGTATTGTGGATGCACGTTAAAGTTCCATTGTAATTACAAACTTTCCTATTCTTTGTGTGAAATCATGTTTTCATTTTTATTATAAATCTTAAATATACATTATAAAAAGACATCTTAATTTAACATACAAAAGCGTGTGAAGCATCTGGGCAAGCAAGTTGCCTTTTTATTCATGTAACTTGAATGGGACAAGGTAGAGTGAACATGTCAAAAGTTCCTTTTTTTTTTTGCTAGAGTGTACAAAAATAAAGTGAAAACATCAGGCTGTTTCTCAAGATATGTAGTAGAAAAAATGTGGTCAGCTCTAATTCTGTTTTTCCCCAGCAGAAGCCTGTCATCCCAATATAGTAAAAATAACCATTATGACTCAGTGCTCTGAATTTAATAGGAAATGTGCATTACACAGTGCAGCTGTTAAAGGCTTCTTATTAAGTCATCATGGTATGTGGAATGCCTAAGAAGCAATAAACTATGTGCCAAATTTTCTTTGCAATTAAAAATATCAGGCTTATATTAAGATCTTTAAAATATATCACATTTGCATTTTCTAACAGGCATCTGCTTTACTGAATATAATTGATTCACATGTAACTTTTGACATTTTCACTCTGTGCATAGTAAACACTAAGAATGATGCTACCTGTTGCATAAAATGTATAGAAATATACATTGCAGAAGAGAGACAGGAAAACACACACATTTAATATCAACATACTTACAGAGGACATTCAGATTTTACAGGATGGAAAGGTCTGTTTCCCAAGACTGTTCTAAATAGAAATGATTCACGATACGTCTCCTCCCCTTAAATTTAGGACAATAACAACTTTAATGCAAAAGTAAATACTGATGAGAAACAACTTCTTTTTCTCCTTGTAACAATAAACAATAAAAATTAGTGAGCCTTATGATCTAGGAGAAACAGATTGTTTATATGCTTCTTGAAGTCAAAACAATTTTCCATCTGATTTATCAGGAGGGAGTTTATTGAGTCTTATCTACAGTTGGTTTTGAGACTTTTTTTAGTTAACAAATTGCTCCCAGGTTTAGTACTTTGAGGAGTTTAATTGTCTATCCTTTGGCTTTATTCCAGCATCCTAGAACATCTGTTTCATTGCACAATCTGTTTGTGTTGTACTCTCTTTTCACTTACAAGTAAAGCTCTTTTGTTGACTCCTTATCATTATTGGTACCATTAGCTCAAGCTGATTTCTGAGACAAGTAGTTTCACAGGCTTAGAAGTAAAGGTCATTTATGTGCAAAGTGATCACTGTGTACTGAAGTGGTGTGATGAAATAAACGCCTGGGACAGCGTAGATGCTTCTGCACAGTAACAGTTTTCTCTTGCTCTGGGACGGGAGCTGGACTTTGCACAGCACAGGTGGGTGGCTGTCTCAAAACCAGTACTGTTACTTTTTCTTCTGTTAGGTCTGCTCCAGCTTGTAGCTTTCTTCACAGCTCTTTCAAAGACTTTTATGTTCTCCAGAGGATAAGTGTGGTTTTATGTTTGATACAAGGATTTTAAATGAATGTACTAGTAGATATGTGCACATCTTATTTATTGGAAAATATTTCCATCATAGAGGTATCAGAAAAGGCATAAAATACGTAGGTGTGCTGTTATACCCCACTCCACTAAAAAAAAGTCAGAACATTTACAAACAGAGCATAGAGCCAATATATGTTTAATTAATTATCATACCAGTCCAGGAAAAGCAAGGAAAATGAACACATCACAAGGAAGAAGAGGATCCATACTCTAAATCCAGCATTGTTTTTGATGGCCTGTGAGGAAAAGGGTATCCCTGTTACCATTACCAGTAAATACAATTTCAACAGTGGCAGCTCAGAATGCCTGTTTGTGGCATCACCCATCCCTCCCACAAGAGAAACAACAAAATTTGACCTTAACTTCAGGTGAATACAAGTCAGATTGTCTGGTACCTCTTTAGAGTCATCACACTGAAGTCACACTCAAAATCTTAACATTGCACAAATCAAACTCCAGGAGCTATATCACAAAGTACACGCTTCAAAGTTAAAATTAAGTTTCAAATGGGAAATTACCTGATTAAAAGGAATCAGGCCTTCATCTTTCTAATAAAGATCTGACTTGAAACAAATAAAAAACCAACAAAACCAAACAACAAACAAACAAAATCAAAATCCCTGACACCCCTGGAGGTAACTCACTCACTTATTTCAGTCTCAGAGCCAGTGTTGGCTACTCCTTTCCAAAATTGAGACCAGCAGGGGACTTGTTTTTTGCTCTGATTTCTTAGATTTATGTAAGGAATTTTTTTTTTTTATATGATACAAACACTAATGTGAGTAACAAAGTTTATTTTACCATCTTTCAGAACTGTTTCTCAGGATGGTTTAGGAAACTTAGTTCTACCTAAAAATGTGAAAAGTGAAATAAAATATAGCTTCAGTTCCTGCCATGTTTGGTGCACTTTTCAGAAGAGCAGAGCAGCAGATAACTCATCCTTCAGACACCTTTTCTGTGTGCTCTCAGGAGGGAGAAAGAAGTGAGCCATTTACTCAGTAGGCTAATTTAGGAACTCCATTTTTATTGAAATCTCAGTTCCCAAAATAAAACATGTTTTCCTTCTACTTAGTAATAAGTGGAAGAGGTTTGTTTACTAGGAGCATGCAAGAGGTGTTCAAAGTGTCTTCTGCTAACACTCAGCATTCTCTTTCAACCATTTCAACACTGTCTTATAGTGGTAGTCTGCAATTTCTGCCCCCCCTTTCTTTGTTTTAAAAAAACTTCACAGGTGCTTAAATGCAAGCCCGGTGACCTTCATGTTTAAAAACTGCTGAGGCCAAGTAGATTTCTGCAGTCCTGTGTAGCTATTCAGATCATGCTTAGCAAGTGTGAACTATTGAGAAGCTCAGCTACCTTGAAGAGTTTTCCCAAACCCCTGTCCTGACACCAAACACCCACTGCACCAGTCCCATGGATGACCTTCCATGTGATGTTTTAAAGCAACACCTGGAAAAAACTGAAAGTTAAGAGAAATGAGTCTAAAACACAACTTCAAGATATTACCTCTCTTATGTCTTCATTGCCTTCTTTTATATTCTCTGTTGCACCCACAACTAATTGATGGATATTGTCAATATCAGTTTCCTGTTTAAAAAAGAAATAAAATTGAGAAATAGCAATGAATGTTACAAAAAAAAACCAAACACCACCACTTCCAAGGACTTGGGGAACAAGCAGAATTCAAAATTAAAATAAAATCTGGTATTACTAACATCTTTGTTTCATTGATGCAAAGGCAGAGAGTAATACATTAAAGCTGTAATTTCTTTATTGGTGATTTTACAAACCTGAATGGAAACCACCAAAACCAGCAGGAAGTCTCCCATATCTGGAGTCAAATGTAACCTGATTTTTCTCAGCTCTTCTGGAAGAGGTGCCAACATTTCCAGAAAGGATGCTGTTACATAACATGTTTAACAGGACACCAGCTCTGAGGCAGAGGGATCATTCTAACACATATCTCTCATTTTCCACTCCTGGTACATACTAATAAGTAACAACAGTAAATATCTTGATTTTGAATTTGCAAAACAAAAGTATTTTCTTCTACATTTTTATTGAGATTCATTAATTTTATGTTCACAAGTTGGCAATCAAGACCAAAATGTCCCCAAGAAAATCTTCAAGTTGTATTTGCTGCTGTAGTATTAAATTATACTAACCTGTTGCAAGACTTTCTCAGTGAATATCTCTTGTAATCTGGAGATTTCCACCACTTTTCCTTCAATTTGTCTTGGAAAACAACAGAAACACTCCATTAGAAACTAGTGCAAACATGTCTTGCTGCTGCAGATTCAGTAAGTGGCTGCTCAGGAGCAATTGTCTGTGAGGCAGGAATAGCCTGGGACTGGGTTTGGACAGTGCCTGGTTGGAAGACAGCCAGTCCACAGTGAAGTGCTGGGAAAGGCACCCCCAGAAATGCTCAGTGAGCAGCTTTCACTGCCAGGACTTTTCACCTGTCTCTCTTATTTCATTTCATATAACAACATCCATGCTGGGCCTTAAGCAGTTGATTTTGACACAACCATTTTCATACGATGCTCTGGTGTGGGCAGTTCACCTTGCACAGCACTGATACCCAGAAGTAAATTTCTAGCTTGAGTAGCCCTTTGGGTGTTCTGCACAGCTGGGGAGAGTGAATGGCACCACCACCACTGCCTGTCACTGCATGGGTTCAGCAAAGCCACCTCCCCATCTGCTATCCGGATATCCAGCAGACAATGGGACAGAAATGGAAAACTTAGTACTTTAAACTTGGGTAAGGGAGAATGTAAGCCTTCCAAATGTAACCAGTGCTACCATTCTTTACACTGTGGGACAGCACACAGTTCCATTCCTGGGCACTGCGGATTTCTCCCAGCTCCTCCCACACCACTGGAGCAAGAACAGGAAGGTGTCCTGCAGCCAATGCCCTGCACACAGGGGCTGACTGGGGCATGGGACTGACATGGGCCACTGTCTGTCAAGTGATAGAAAAGTGTACCTGACTTCATCAAAGAGATTGTTCATTTCACCGACAAGTCTCTGGTTCTCCTGTTCAAACTGGAAAAAGGGGAGAAGGAAATGACATTCAAAATTTGTAAGTTTAACTTCCCAGAAGTGAGTCTGAAGTGACAGGGTAACAGTGTATCTCACAGAGAAAGGCTGTCTTCTGACACAGGCAATTTCTATCATAAAGAAAAAAATTTTATTTCTTTGAACATCCGCCTTTCTTTAAACATCCAGATTTGGTTTTGTACTAGAGGCTCACTGCCTACCTCACTGGTAAAGAACAGCCTTCTCTCCTGGGTTAAAGGATTCCACAGAGTCTAAGAGGAAGGCTACTGGGCACTGCCACCTTCACTGTGGGGTAGAGGTCTCAGGGAAGATGCCCAGCTCCATGAACTGAAGGGGATCAGAAAGCAACATCCTGCACAGTTCCATTGATTTCCACTCTAAAGATCCAATGGTTTTGTCAAATGAAATAACACCAGTGTTGCAATACATTCAAGTGTCATTGTTACCACTGTATGTAGTGACACCACCTACAGAGCAGAGCATTTTTGAAAATACAATCACCTAAAATATATTTATTTTATATTTCCTTCACAAGAGCAGATGCTGTGCTTCATCACTGCACTGCTTTGCATTCAGGACTACTGTATGTCTGGTTCTGGTGGAGTCACCTCACAACAAAGCCAAGGCACTGAGCAATGAAACAGAGCCACGAGATTTAGTGCTGTCATTGCCAGTTGGTCCTTGAGTGACTAAGTGGAGCCACCATGCTACAATTGTTTTTTCTGGCTTCTGTAAGGATATCTGTACAAATATTCAACATTAGAAATCCCCTATTTTACTGCCTTAAAAACAGATGGTAACTAATTGAGAAGACAAATTTTCAGTAAAGAAACAGTGAATGACTTTAATCCTTTACAAATAGCACAAATCCACTTGAGAAAGTATTCTCTAAAAACTCCCTTTGGTATTTAAAACCTTCCACTGGCACAGATTGCCTTTTAAACTGCTAAATGATCTTTGCAACTTGAAATCATGGCTGATAACTGCTGTCTGTGCAAGTGCTCTAAGATATTGCTAAAACAGGCAGTTGAACAAAGGGTTTGAGCACTGAACACATCATACACCAGTGCGTCACAAAGGGATTTACATGATGGGAACGTAAAACCAAACTCTGGCAATCAGCACAGCTCAGTGATTTGTGGCTTATTGAAGTAGCCTCTTTTATGACAGTGAAATATTCTGTTACCAAAGTATGGCGTAAAGTGACTGCTTAATATATGGCTAAAAAATCCAAG